CTCTGAGTTAGTAATTTTTAAAAAAAGTAGGAGGGCAAGAATCCTGGATGCCCAAAAATTTGGTTTGACCTTTTTAGTCATGAAGTCTGTAGTTAAACTCAGTCCCAATGTATCATAATGAAAAGTTATGAAAACTCTAGTTGCTTCTAATAAAGGTTATTTCCTCCTTTTGTTTCCTATGTTTCATTCTCATCTTAAGTATATATGTATGCTATGAGTATAAAATATCATAATGCGGATGGCTCTATTTGCTCCAGATTGAGCACTGTTTCCCAAAAGGAAAACATACTCAGGCTAGAGTAAGCTGAATAAAGGAATGAAGGGGCTACTGCAGAAGATAGGTAAAGAGGCCATATGGGAACACCTTGCTACTTTAAAGGAATTCAAATCCCCAGGTCCATATCAGCTACTATGAGGGATATTGAAGGAACCTGCAGATGTAATATCAGAGCTTCGGTGTTCAATCTTTGAGAATTCTTGCAGAAAAAGTAAGGTCCCTGATGACTGGAGACTGACATTTTTCAAAGGTGAAGGAAGAGTATCCAGGCAACCATTAAGCAGTTAGCTTGGCACCAGTACAAGTAAAGATTCTAGAACATTATAGGTAAAAATCAAATAAAAGTTTAAAAACCCAAATAAAATTTTAAAAAATTACAAGACAAAAACATGGTGGCACCTTAAAGACTAGATACTTAAACAGTGTGGTCACTTAGAATGAGGTAGTTATTAGCAGCTAGCATGGATTTCTCAAAAATAAATCATACCAGATTAATCTTATCTCCCTCTGTTTCTTTCTGAATAAATTCATACGCTTGGTAGAATAGGGGAACACTATACATACAATCTATCTTCATTTTATCAAGTCACACAACGTTTTGACAAAGTCTCTGCTAAGTTAGAAAATGTGGGGTAGACAATGCAACTGTTGGGTCATGGCTAAAGAGTGCTTACCTAATGTTTCCTCATCACTTGAAGAGAAATGGTAAATGGAGCACCACAGGATCCTATCCTGGGGCCAATGTTGCTCAACATGTTTACAGATTATTTTGATAAAAGAGTTGGGGGGGACACTTTTCAAACTTGTAGAATAAATCAAACTGTTATGGGAAGATAACACTTCAAGGGTCAGGATTAGGTTTCAAAAGCTGGAACCATGTTTGTAGTGTAAGCCAAATCATATATTTCCATCTGTTCCTCCCTGGTAAACAAAACATCCCTGCTGATCCTTGGGGATTTGTATGCACACACACATGAACACACACACACACACCAAGCCAGCATATCCATCATCCTTCCCAGGAACTGTGGCACAGAATGGACAGAAAGTTTTTGCTTAGCTTACTTTATGACCAGGATTTCAGCCAAAATGACCTTAACAGATTGGAGAACTTGGCCAAAGAAGCAAAACTAATTTCAACAGGAAAAAAATGAAGTTCCTCAGCTACATTGGGAAAACCATCTGCACAAATAAATATAGGATAAATGGCACCTAACTATTTATGAAGGGAATCTCAAAGGTTTTAGTGAACCACAAGCTAAAAACACAAGTCAACAGCATTATGCGATAGTTGAAAAAAAATGCAATATTAAGATGCAACACCAAATCCAGACAATGCAATGACGTTGAATGTATAACAAAATCACAAAAGGAAGCCCTTTATCAGCAGCAATTTGTCACTGCGAATTATGTCATTGCCATCAGACAGACATACTTTGCTCAGCTGGATTTCAGCAATCAAATACTATGATTTGATACAAATTGCTGTGACCAATGACATTATCCAGATTTTGCAAAGCACCATAGGCATAATGAAAAGTAAGATTATATAACTTTAAGAGATCATGTCTGCTAGAGTGATTGCACTTTTTGCTGAGAAAAAAAAGTCCAAAGGAATGAAAAGAGTTTTACTTTCATTACACTGAATTATACACATACATACATACATACATACATACATACATACATACATACATACATACATACATACATACATACATACATACATACATACATACATACATACATACATACATACATACAACATACATACATACATACATACATACATACGTTTCTCCAAGATTTTATCTTTTATAACATGAAATCTTTTGAGCGAATTACTTGGCATCCATGATCAAATATCAAATACTAAAAATCAACACATTTACTGTTTTTATGCCAGGTTTTGAAAAATGTCATTGAGCTCAAATAGTTGGTTCAGTTTAAGATGTTATGTTAAGAGCGTCAAAGCCTTCAAGGCCACTAACAAACAACACACCTACAAAATAGTGTCCAAGACTGTAGTTAGTCCCAGCTTCACCATTACCTCTGCGGTGAATGGCTACCAATGACACAGTAGGAGCCCCAGTCACAGATTTGTTCCTTCACGGGAACTGACACATGTAAGGGCAGTCATGGAAACATTTCCTGCCTCACAGGCTCCCCTTTGCAGCCACAGCCTCAAGCATGCAACTAGTCGCATGACCAGTTGTGTTACAGAGGGCCTTCAGGAGAGGAGAAATTTCTGTGTGATTGCCCTTATGTATAGGGAAAATATTGATTGGTTTTAGGTAACTGAAGCTATCGCATAACTCAAGTTACTGTTCCATGTCACGAATGCCCAACTAGCAACCAATATCATAATCCTTTGAGTTTGGAAAGAACCATAAAGGTCAGCTCTGCCAGCCCCCTGTCAATACAGGATAGGTATAGTTCTTCACAGATGCAATATTCATGATAAAGAACTTTTGGTAGTTGAGAATATATTTATTTCAAATTATGAGGAAAACTATTCTTTTTTTAAAAAAAATGTTGATGAAGTTAACCCTTCATTCTTAGATTACTGTACTTTCTGAACACTGGCTCAAACATTTATAAGATTTTTGTGCTGTATTAACTTTTATGACAGCAGCTGCTGGTAAAGTTATCTCACAAACCGAAATTTCATTCTGAAACTAAAAGGCCGCCAGTTTTCATGGGGAGTTTAGTAGATTCTCCGCACAGTGTCTTCAGAAATGGACTATGACCTTATGAGTTTGGACTATGCACTATGATATGAAGTGTGGAAGGATGAGATGATTTAATGCTCCACCTTGGAGCAGAAGGAGGGACAGAATGATAAGGAGGTAAAATTTGCTTACTTGAAATACAAGGTTGAATCTGAAATGGGGTTAGATTGAAGGGTGTCATTCTGCAAACATAAAGCCTCTTTTTGCTTATGGATGTGCTGTTCCTAGGGTAGCACTTTGCTTGGTGAAACAATAGAGGCACCAGTGTGCCAAAAGGGCACCGAAGATATTAAAGATATTAAAACAATATTACCAAATTTAACATCTTATTTTCAGCATAAAACAATCAGGTGCCTTGTAATGGTGAATACTGAAATGCTGCATTATGAGCCATCACGTCAGAATTGGCTTACAGAGCTTTGAAGGTAAGTGACATATTTAAGGATGAGGTTGGCTTGTGCTCCCCCATCCACCCCCATGAAGCTCCAGGTTCAAGTGCAGATTCAGTCCTAAGACTCCCCAGTCCTAGTCCACCACCTCTATCCACTACACTACAACAACTATCGAGGTAGAGAAAACAAGATATTAAACTAGACAGTGAGGGCAGCAGACCGTCCAAGCACAGCATTATAGTCTCTCACTGTTCTTGCACCCACATCAAAACAGAATATCACATTTATCCACTGAATACTATTGGTAGAATCAATGCCTATTGGAAATTTGCTTCTGAGGGAAAAACAGTAGCAAGAGCATGTGTGTGCTCAGGCACTTTGTTTTGTTCTTTGTATGACTGCTCTGAGAGACAACCTTCTATGTCAGTAATGATGAGCTTTACCACCATCATTCATAACTTGTTCCCAATCTTGCATTCCTTATGCATAAGGACATGACCCAGGTTGAACCCTATTATATATTTCCAACATCATATGTGCCTCAAATAATACTTTAAAATGTGTGGCATTGGTTTCATGGATGCTGGTGTAGGGCTGTGAAGTTCCTAAGGGTGTAGAAATGATGAGGGAAGTACCAGCATGAAAGCTGGAAACTCTACAATAACCTTTTTAATAGAAGAAAATAGCACGTACAGCAATCACAACACCATGGGACAAAAAGGGCTAAGAAAATCTTCTGAGTGTTGCGGACTTCAATATGAACAACGCACAAGATCAGTGTTATCACACAAAAGCAAGCTTTCTAACAGCACAGAGGCAAAAATTCTTCCTGGACACAAACCTGGCATTTCATTTTGTTGTTCTGTTTAAATCATGAACCATAGGAAACATGTGACAGTCACACGAATAATGCTTTGTTGGAAAACTCAAAGGTTCCTGGACATATCAGTCCAGAAGGCAGTTCACTAAAGCCCGTTCCAGGAAGACAAAAGCTACTGTCCCATGCAGATGCCAGCGAATGGTGGGACTTCTTCCAAATAATGATGGATGAACTGGAGCTGCGTAGGAACTGAAATGTTACCATGATAAAATGAGTTTCCCTAGTCTAGACAAAGAAATGAACAGGAAAAGAAACAAACTGTTGGACCAAAGGGAAGAAAGGGGGGGGGGGAACGGAAATGCTTAAGCTGTACTGGATTTGTTACAGACAGCTGCATGCTGGTAACAACATCCAGTCTCTTGTGTCCCATTTGACCAAAAACATTGAGGTGGCAACCATATGCAGGATACACATGCTTAACTTGGAAATAAGGTTCGGTGTCCTCAGTGACACTTCTCTATAGTAAACATACAGAGATTGAATTATAAATGGATGGGAAAATAGCAACACTTTGTGGAATTCCAAAGCCACCTTGCAGTCCCCTCATAAATAATTTTCCATAGATATCTGCTCTTTAGGTGCTGTTCCAAACCCTACATCATGCTTGCAACTTCATAAATATCCATAGCTATAGACAAGAGATGTTGCTCTTTCTATCCCTTGTTTTCTCCCAAGAGATCAGCATCACCAGGGTTGCCATTTAAGAACTAGCTCCTCACCTGAAAGGTTCCTGCATGGTCTTCTTCTCGGTCTCCCTCTTTGCCTTCCTTCAAAGCAATCAATGTGAATCCACGGAAATAGGCTGGAGTGGCAGCTGAAAGTGTTACTGAGGAAAAAGGGAGAAAAATAAGACTTTCCAAATAAACGTGCTTGTAGATTTTTTAAAACATTCAATACCTTGGTCAATTATGGCTCTAGGATTAGAGAGATCATTGGGCATGACACCCTCAGTTGAGACCCCTGAATTGGAAGAGGCAATGAACCTAAGGGTTATTTTTAGGCTACATAATAACACCCCTGCAAAATGCATGCAGTAGTATTGCTATGATGTAACAAGAAATAGTCGTATTCAACTTTCATACATTCATACAGGAAATAAAGTCTTATTAGGGTTGCTGTAAGTCAGTTACAACTTGATGGCACATAACTAATATAACATATGGAGTGGGGGGATTGGTGCCATTTTTGGTGAACCAGTGTGAAGCACAGAGGTCTAGTGTGCTGTCCTCAACAGAGGATAGGCAGGAGGAGACATCCGGATGTGTAGAGGGAGAACTCATAAAGAGAGAGGAAGATAAAGTGAAGAGGGTGATAGAGATATGTTTAGCGGAAGATGAGGGAGACAAAGGGGAGGAGCAGGATCTGATATTATAGGAGGAGGTTATAAAGGGGGAAGGAGAAGTGCAGGAATTTAGAGTGGAAGCAGACATGAAAGAAAGAAGCAGGAGAGACAGCGCGGTACAAACAGATAGTGTGGACAAGCAAGCTAATAAGATTTGTGACCTATTGAGAGAGTTTCCAAACCTCAAGATGGGAGGAGGATTCCTACCAGACCCCTTCTCTCCTAGGTGTGACGGGAAGGCGGTAAAGCCCCTAGAATGGATGGTCATGGTCTATCCCCACAATCAAAGTGGAGGGAGGAAGGTAATCCACCCCAGTCCCACATGAAATGCACCACCCCTGGGAGGGGGATTGGGCGAGGCATACATGTTGTGGGACGGTGTGTGCTGTGAGGAGTACCCCAATGCGACTGATGACAGACCGCGAGTGCTTTGGTCCAGCCCCGATGTGAGATGGACTATGTATACCTGAGCCAAAGATATTAAGTTACGCAATGATTCCAGAGTTAAGCAGTTTTGATCTGAAGCTAATGAGAAGAAAATTAAGGTTGTTGAACAGTTCAAATTGCCTCTCTTATTCCCGCCAAAATAAAAGACCCATCACCAATTTCAGAAGAACCCAATCACAACCGGTTTTGCAGCAAAGCAGAATATAGCCTCGTTGTTAGCAGGCTGTCCCACTGAAGATAGAAAGAAATTTCTTCCATTGGAAAATACTGGAATTTATGGGGTTCAGAAATACCGCATAGTACATGAAGGATATATTTTATTTTGTTTTGTTCGATTTTATTTTCATTTCATGGTGTAATTTTCTGGCTCTGGATGTTATGCACTTGATTCAGCACATGTAAACAGAGCTTTGTACACAGCAAAATGCTGATAATAACACAATGCATTAGAATTTATAATCAGACCAATAGTAGTGCTCTATAAAGGCATACAATTCTGTCCATAGCTAGTCAGACATAAGCTTCATTGAGTCCAAAGGAACCGATAGGATTGAGGTATAAATGCCACGTGGCCCTACCCATTTAGAAACGGAGTCCATTGAAAGTAAATGAAATTGTTAATTACCTTCGCATTTCTTGCCTGCTGCCAGCAATTTTGGCAGCTAAAGATGTAGGCTACCACTTAACAAATGCTTATGTTGTATTAAAATTTGTCTCAAAGAAATATGCTACTTGACAAAGGCTTTAAATAATGAACAATAAATGACTAAAGACACTGCCATAAGAGATGTGTCTTCATGTGAGAAGTTGGATTCAAGTTCTGTTTTGACAAAGCTACTGGCATTTCATTGTTCCACACCTTTATGTAACAATTCTAAGGAGTTCATTATGGTGCAGTACCTGAAAGTGATTATCGGGCATTAAAACACTGTGTCAACCAAGGAGTTCCTGAGGTTTCTACATATGTACAACTTTACAACAAGACTTTTATTGAATCTCCAAGTATCTATCTGCTGTTTCTTAATCATGCTTTATATTTTCATTTCAACATTTGACAAAGCTCAAAATGCTTCATATACATTATTTCATTGCAATCCCAGAGATGAGGGAAACCATTTTATTTATTATTGTTAAAGTTTTTGGACTACAACTCTTAAAATATCCTAATCAATATGGCCACTCTAGGAGTTGTAGCTGAAATGAATATTTTCCCCATATCTCTGCAATTCTCCTTTACACTCAAAATTATTCAGAGAAAGGCCAACATTAAGCCCTCCTCATTATGGTTTCCTCCAGATATGTCAGAAGGCAAGTAAGCAGACAAAAACACCCCAGCTCCCATTACTCTCAGACAGTATGGCTATTCTTCAAGAATGATGGGATGTACATCTTGAGGATGCCACATTAGCGAAGACTGCTCTAACCACTATACCATTCTAGCTCAGTTGATTAAGCAGTTCTCATCAATCAACTCATCTCTAGCAGTCATTGAAGGGACACATACTATGGCCAACGTTCTCAGAAACACATCTTTCTGATGTAGGTCGGGAGCAATGGCAGGGAAATATTAGGCAGAGCCACTTACAGTGGTTGCAACAGGAATAGATTGGCAGAAATTGGTCAAGCTTGGGATAGTTCCAGCCCACCTTGCTGACAGTTTTGCAGATAGGAGTGGACCCCAGGTGACAGAGATGGGCAATTGGCCCTACCCAACACAAGATCCTCTCTGGTGGGATCAGGCAGTGGGGGAAAGTGGGAGGAAATGGTGGGGGATGTCCAGCTCATCACAGTCCCCCGCAATGGGTGGCAGCACATCTCCTCCTTAATGTTCTTGCACCCAGGAGGCAATCATACCCATATGGGGCCAATCATTTTTGTCACTTGGTGTTGGGATCCACTCCTTGTGCCAATTTTATCTTATTACTTTATTCACTCACATTTCTTTCTGAAAATAAACCTCTAAATTTATCAATGGTATGCGTTATTGAGAACTGTGGGAAATACAGGAGGGTTATCTTACTTGGGTCCGCAATGGAATTATAGTTTTGCCAAATGTATGAGAATGCTCATATATATGTATCTGGGAGACAGCCAACGTGATGTAACAGAAAGCGCTGAACTAGGACTCAAGAGACCAGAATTCAAATTCCTGGTTGGCCATGGAAACTGATGGGAGAATGGCAATGGTAAACCATTCCTTGAACATGTTACATATGTCAAAACATTATGAGGGTAGCTAAAAACTGGAAACAACTTTAGGGGCACATAACAGCAAATATATCTAAGAAGCAAGGAGCCATGTAAGAGGAATGAAAATTCAGGTTAATTTAGCCCTGTCCTAAGCATACTTGTGTACATGGCATGTATCTGGTTACTTTGCAACTATTAAGAGAGTTTCGAAATTATAACACACAACAGCATCCAGACATATTACAGAGAATGCAGTCTGCAAATGACAATATACTGTGTTTGGCATATACATTCTTTTCCAGTGCTTGAGACAGCTAAAGATTGATTCCATTACATACTGTTGGTTTTAAACTTAAAATTCCAGAGCGTCCCAAAATGTTCGTTATGTTTCTAGGCAAGTGAAAATCTCCAACATTGTGTTCATTGACAGTTGCAATTTGTGCTCCCAAACTGGAATGAATAACAAGGTGAAGGTGTAGATAATTTGAATGTTGTAGTATTGTGGAGAGTCATCTGCTGCTACTAAGCAGCTTTGTTGTCTTTTTGGATCCCCAGTAGATGGACACCAGTTTGCATTTCTAGTGAAGACCAATCATAAAACAAGAGAGAGGGAGAGAGGGGGGGAGGGGGAGGGAGAGGGAGAGAGGGAGAGAGTGTCTCCCAGCATGTAGCTCTACACTGGATTTGCCCACCAATTTGTCAGCCAGAAACACATGGGAACATTCCTACCTCAAGATTTAGTGGGACTCTTTCTGGACATCCACAATCAAATTCATGATCAGAGTATGTAGGGGGAATTGTATAAAATTATGTATGTCAATCTCAGAGAACAGCTATGAAGTAACACAAAGAGGCATATAATTAAAACAAGTACAATCCTAGCAGAAACTAAATTCAGCAGACTGGTATTTTTGTGTTATGCTAGTGAGTGATTCATTGGATCAATAACTGTTCTCATCTCTTCTTGTGTAAATCTTTTCCCATGTAGTGGAATACATATTTGTTCCACCTACAGATAAATGTAACAGGACAGTATTTCGACAGATAAATGTTTAATTTCCTCCCTTTAGACAACAAAGCTACAGTTGCATAGACGAATGCCAGGAGGGCACTGCCAAAGGGAATGAATCTCTTCCTCTATATCCTTATATTTTCTACTGAACAATGCACTCCACTCCTCATACAGTACTTCTTTTTCAAAAGAGGCCAGTTCAAATTGAAATGCCACATCAAATTGTCAAAAGTTGGAGATGTCAAGGGACCCTTTTTAAAAAACAATCTCTTTGACAGGAAAATAAAACATTTTCAGAAATATAAAACATTGGTCAGAAATCCTGACAACACTGGTTGTAAGATGCTTAACTGAGCTTGTGGCAAACAAAGAAATAAGCAATCCAATTTATTGCTTAAAGAAGAGATTTACAATGGGAAACTGTTACTAAGATGTTCAGCACCCTGCAGTATCAGTAAGAATGCATTACTCTTGTCTAATTTTTAATCAATAAAACAGAATCTTTGGTATGATTTATTTTTTCTGTTCACTAGAATCATTGTGCATATGCTTGGTTTAGCATTTTTACATAAGAAAAGAAAAAGCACCCAGTGTTCATGATTTATATGTCATGTATCCTAATTTTATCAACTTGCTGAAAGCACAGCCTCTCACAATCATTAGATTACATGAGTCTCCTTGTTATTAGCCTCCACCCATACCCTCTTGGTTACAAAGATATATTTGACTATATGAATATTTCAAATTTACATCAAACAGACACTGCACTTTTATATTAAAAAAAAGTTTCTACATTTTATTGTAATACTATCTTTTTAAAAAAAATCCTGGCTCA